TTATCCTATTACTTGAGAATTCTGTGATTTTGCTATGGTTGTTTCTTTTTTTTTTTTTTTTTTTTGCCTTTTCATGTGAAAAAAACTACATTTGTGATGTTAGTCGGATGTTTTTTTTTTCGTCAAATACACTACGCCCCCCCTAAAATGAAATCCTGGCTCCGCCCCTACAGATGACAATCCACCACAAGTTTGAAGGATGCTGGAGTTCATTTTGCCATCTTTTGGGGTTTTGAGCCCATTATGTTGTATAAGATCATTTTGAAATATGTCAGGTTACATAGCTTGGCCATGTAATGTAACTATAAGCCTTCAACACTATTTTGATGTAAATTGACTAAATGTAATGACCGTGTAATATTTTTAGTTAATTGGGAAGAATGATGATGCATTGTATCAAATTGTAGATGTATATGATCATGGATTATAGTTTATCATTTTCAATGTATTAAAACAGGTTTTAGGTGAGTTATGTAGCTTTTATATAGCCTATTTTTCATTTACACCCTTATAGCAGTTCAGTAGCAGGTCTAGAGCTCTCAGAGCCATTTTGGCCAACCAAAATGGCACTTCGGTAGACCAATCCTCCGCATAGCCTCGGGACTTTTACTGTGTGCACAACCGGCCAACCAAATGTCTATTTCAGTCGACCGATACAAAAAGGGTCATTTCGGCCAACCAAAACCCCATTTCGGTCGACCGAAATGAATTTGCTTTGGTGCACTTTGTTCCTACTCTTGTATAATTAAGCCCCAAGCCTTAGAATGTTGTTTAGAGTCCCCTTGATGTACATTTATGGCATAATAATGATGAATGGACATTAGACATGGATGTGTTTGACTTAGGTGACCTCGGGTCCGTGTAAGGACCCGTTTAACGGTTCAGACTTACGGGTTCGGGTTGTTACAGACCCGAACGACGTCGTACCTGAAAGAGAAATAGAAAGATAACCGGGAAGGCACCAATGTGGTATCGTCCTAAGAGCCTCCGACGAGTAAGTTAGTGCTGGATCAGCAGGATGGAAAGAAGGTGAAAATATTTTCTTAGGGATTTGTGTTGTAACTTTTCTGTTGACCCGAACCACCTCTTTATAGAGGTATCAAGTTGCATTAAAATAGGAGTTTTCTCGAACTTGGCATATAACTGGTGCTTACGAAGCATTTGTGATACCACATAAAGATGTCTAGCATGGTCCTCCTCTAACTTAGAATAAAACAAAATATCATCGATAAATACGATGACAAATTGATCTAAGTAAGCCCTGAAGACCCTGTTCATCAAGTCCATAATGACAACTGGTGCATTAGTCAAGCCAAAAGGCATGACACGGAATACATAAGATCCATATCTAGTGAGAAATGTTGTCTTAGAAACATCTTGTTCCCTAACTCGAAGTTGATGATATCCAAAACCCAAATCAATCTTGGAGAAATAAGTGGTTCCCCTCAACTAATCAAATAGGTCATCGATCCTGGGTAAAGGATACTTATTACGAATAATAACCTTGTTCAACTCCCTATAATCTATGCATAGGCAAAATGAACCATCCTTCTTCTTCACAAATCGAACTAGCACTCCCCATGTTGAAGTACTTCTACGAATAAAGCCCTGACTGAGTATTTACTGAATCTGATCTTTCAGCTCTCATATCTCCATCGGTGTCATCCTATACGGTGCCGTAGCAATAGGTGCAGTGCCTAGAGCTAAGTCAATAACAAAGTCTATCTCTCGACTCGGTCACCACCCTAAAATCTCTTGGAATACATCCTGAAACTCCTGTACAACTAGGATACTATCAAGTGATACAGTAGTCTCCATCTCAGACTCCTCTTCTAAATAAAATAAGTGTGTGTTAGAACCCCCATAAGGTCGTGGCTATGATGTTTATGTTTTTCGTCATTTTTCTTTTTTAGAATTTTCCATTTCGGTAAGGGTATTTTCGTCTTTTCGCATTTTCGTGTACCGGACACTGTAGAGTGTGCCGGATGGGTCCGAGAGTTGTTTGGAGCATTCCATTGAGTTCAGGACTCATGGAAATGTAAGAGTTATCATTTTTGTATTTTATTATTTTTCAGATCGGAAGGTCCCGTGTGGGATCTGCTACCGGATTTGTCATGCACGGGAGTTTTGGTTGGGTCCATTTGCATATCATTTATTTTCTTTAATGTGTTTATGTGGGTTTTTAATGGTTGTGTGCACATATATAATTTTGTGGTGGAGAAATTAGAAGGAAAATAAACCAAGAAGTTTAATTTTAGTGACGAGACCCACCACTGACTTGTATTAGTGGCCTAGAGACCACATTTGGTCTCTCATTTCTCTCTCCCCATAAAATTTCTCTCTTCCCCTCTTGTTCTTCATTTTTTTTTTCTTTTTCTTTGGCTACAAAACTTCAAGTTTCAATTACTCCCTCATTTGTGGGAATTTTTGGAAGCTGTTTGCGGCAAAACGGAGAGCATGACGAGATCTACATGTGAATACAAATAATTTCAGCTTTTGGCCTCCCCTAGGATTTCGAATTTGAGACCCATTTTGAGGGTTTTTTTACAAATTTGAGATAGGGGCATTCTAATGCATGAATTCTTATACTTTTGTGAATTTTTAAGCTTAAATTGATGTCGAACATGTTCAATTGATGTAAAATTTTATGCAAAACTTTGTGTAAATGATAAGCATGGAATATATGTGATTATTTCTTAATTGTTTTAGGGTGATTAAACATGCTAGTTGTTTTACGGTGATTAAACATGCTTACATGAATTTGAATCTATGCCTTATATGCTAGTTATGCAAAGTTAATGTTAAATGAGAGTTTTAGTATGTAGTTTATAAATTTGTTTTGTATAGCATGCGTAAAAGTTTTATGGTTGGATTGATAAATTGAAGTATGAAGCATTTCATGCATTCATTGGGAAAGAGAAATGGGGAAAAGTGTATTAAAACAAATGAAATTGTTTTGGGAAAAGGTTTTCTAAAAGTGTTTGCGAAAATCGGATGCCTAGGAGGCACCTAGTGGTCCATGATATTAGTGCAGCCTTGAAGGGAATGTAGTTGAGCGAACTAGGCCAGATGCGACGCCTTGGAGGTGCCTTGTGGTCATGGATAGTTAGTCAACCCTTCTTTCGTAACGCCTTGGAAGTGCCTTGGGTTAGATTACACTAATGGTTTGAAATTTGAAACGGATATGTTTCGGATATAGGGAGCGACATTTGCATGTCATTGTGTTTCATTAGCATCTATGGTGCATATATGTTTGGATGACATTCGTTATATACTTGTCATTGTGATTGCCAACATTTATCCCCTATGGTATGATCCTGTCCCTTTCCACCTACTCTTTGCGTGGATTTACGGGGCTATTAGAAATGTGTCTTAGACACTTCCTACTGGGCTTATGCTCACCCCATTATATCTTAACATTTTTCAGGTTCGGGAAAGGAGGTGGCGGACGACGATCCACCACGTTTTTAGAAGATGGAATTTGTATTTTGCTCTCTCTTTGCATAGAACTATAAACCATGGTTCTTTTGTACATTTTGGGTTTTGCTAAAGGATTGTAACATGATATTAATGTAAGTGCCTTAGTTAAGGCCGTTAACCTATGTAGTGAATCATGTATTACATTGTGGGTTTGGTGTTGAAAGTTTGTATTCATAATTTTAAATGTTTTGGGACAGGTCATACTTAGTTTTAAGTCTCCATGGTAAACCCTCTGTTCACTCCCAGGTTCATGGTATTTTTTGCAGAATTTCTACTTCACATGGCCATTTCGGTTGATCAAAATAGCCACTTCGGTCGACCGATACAGGAGTTATATCGGTCAATCAAAGCTCCATTTCAGTTGACCAAAATGCTGTTGCTTATGCATTTTGCTTCCCTTTTTGGTATAACTTACCTTAAGCCTTGGAATCTCACTTAATGACCTTATAAGGCATGTTTAAGTTATGGTAATAATGTATTTTCATTGGACTTGATGATATTGATTTAGGTAACCTCGGGTTTGGGTAAGAACCCGGTTAGCGGTTCGAACCTACGGGTTCGGGTCGTTACAAAATTGGTATCAGAGCAATGGTTCAAATATCATTAGGACGACGGGTAGAAGCCTCCCTAGGATTGCATGGGGATGATGGAATGCACGTTTATGTGCTTATGTGTTAAATTGTTTAATTGTTTGAGAAGCATGCTTAATTGCTTAACTGTTTATGTGATTACGTGTTAAGTGTTTAAAGTTGTTGCATATTGTTAGCATGATCATGCTTATCATCGGTTGGGTTTCTTTTCCGAGGTATGGAAAGTGTTTAAGTGTTGTCATTTCTTATCGGGTCATTCGTGTGAGGACTCTATTTTCTTATGCATTCTAGTGTCATCATTTTTAATCCGTTCTCTCATTTTATAGCGTCATGCCACCACGAAGGGATCCCAGTGAGAGTTCTAGTTCCAATACCATGGAAAGGGATCAGGAGTAGGTTGGGGAGGTTGTTTTGTTGCGTGACTTGATCCCGCCGAGAAGGGGACAATCGAAGGGAATCGTTGATCTACCTCTTCAGATAAATGACGAGCAGTTGAAGTTGGCCATTTAGGTATCTCTTTTCGATGCATTTCGGCCGATAGGAGCATCATCATCATAGGTTGTACCATCACCGGCACCACCTCCAAAGAAAAGTGAGTCAGATGAGACTCTTTACCACATCGCTAGGTTTATGAAGTTGATACCAACCTTATTTGAGGAAGGTCCAGACCCGCTTGTTGCGGACAGTTTCATGGATAGGGTGGAGAAGCATCTTAATGCCATGAATTTGGTGTCAGACAAGTTGAAGATTACATTGGCAACCTATAACTTTATTAGGGATGTTGAGATTTAGTGGAAGACCATTTCTCACACCCATAATCTGGATACTATGACCTATGTTGCATTCAAAAAGTTGTACTATGAGAAGTACTTTCTGGCACCTAAGCGGGGAGAACTAAAGAAAAATTTTGATAGGTTGAAGTAGGGGAATATGACAGTTATAGAGTATGAGAACAAGTTCACATCGCTTTTGAGGTTTGCACTAGGGATCGCCAAAGATGAGGAAAGAAAAATAGAAAAGTTTGTTGATGGCCTTGATCTTACCATCAGGCCAATTGTAGCTGCCTCAGAATCAACAGAGTATGCAAAAGCAGTACAAAAAGCCTTACTGGTTAAGGCCGAAAGTAAGGATAATAAGGCTATCGAGGAGTCCTATAAGCGCAGCAGGGGTATGGGTGCTTTCTTCGAGGGTCAATCAAGTAAGAAACAGAAGCATGAACAGTCAAGGCTTAGGGGACAACAGTCAGTCAGATCCGCACCCGCAGCTTTAGTGTTGATGGTGTCTTCTAGACTGAATGTTACTTGTTTTAGATACGGGCAACTGGGACATTACAAGTCCCAATGCACTGAGACTCAGGTAACTCAGGTGATTTGTTTTAAGTGTGGGCAGTCAGGGTATCATAAGTCCTAGTGTACTCAGATTCAGGTGGCATCTGGTGGGTGTTTTGGGTGTGGCCAACAGGGCTATATGGTGAAGGATTGTCCATAGTGGGGCAGTGGTTCAGGCAGAGGTGGAGGTTCACAGCAGAGGCAGACACAGTCCGCCACAGTTCAGTCAGGATTTCGACCACTACCACCACCTCAGCTAGTTATAATAGCGCAGAGTTCTTAATTTGGTAGAGGAGCTTCTTTGAGTGCACCCACTCAGTAGTCTGCTTATCAGACATATAGTCCTCAGGGGCAGAGGACTCAAGGTCATATGTTTACACTTACTCCAGCTGAGCCACCATCTAGTCCTTTAGCTGTTAGGGATATGTTCCTTGTGTCCTATTTTTAGGCCCGTGTACTGTTTAATTCTGGTGCTTTGTATTCTTTCATTGCTTCATCATTTGCACGGGCATTGGGGTTGGAGGTTAGTTAGTTAGACAGACCACTTTTTGTTGACACACCTATCGGGGGTTCAGTTGTTCTTAGAAGAGTTTGTAGAAGTTATTCCATCACGATTGCTGGACGTGCTCTTGAGTTTGACCTCATCATTCTCGAGATAATAGGGTTTGATGTCATTTTTGGGATGAACTGGTTGTCGTCTTTCAAAGCCGTTATTGATTGTTTCAGGGGCAAAGTGTCAGTGTGTACCCCAAATGGGGATTGTTTCTGTTTTGTGGGAGATCGGTGTAATTCTCTTACTCCTTTAGTTTACAGTGTCAGAGGTCGAGATCGACAGGGTTCTTTTTGGCAAGCCTTTTTTGCCGATGATGATGTTGACTTTTGCGGGGTTGATTATCCAGTGGTTGTGCGCAATTTTCTGGATGTGTTTTCGGAGGACTTGACGGAGTTACCTTTACATCGAGAGGTAAAGTTTGCTATTGATTTGATGCCTAGTGCCATATAAGCACAAAATCATGTCACTAAAGTACAGCAACAACATGGCATCTTTAAGCATATAAAGAAGGCATGCTAATGCCACACAACAAGAAGACTAATGTGGATACACTTCCACCTACTCATGCATCACAATATCAGAAATCATACTACTAACATGGTAGTAAATGAAACTGCAGAAAATAAAACGATGCAATAATGAACCCCATAGACATCGTGTCCTAGAGTGTCTAGGAAAAAGGAAAGACCAGTCCTAGTCATAACTATCTCCAAAAACCAATGCGACAACAACTTGTCTCAAAACAAACGTGAGCTTTTACCACAATGGTAAGACTCCAACAATCCAATGCCGAATCTAGAGGTGACGCTATACATGACACTAACAATGCAATGCTCTCACCAACCCAAAACATCGATCAATCGACTCGATCCCAAAAGCATCATCACACAAAGAGAACTCAAACAAAATGGCTACTTTAGCCATACAATCAGACAACCAATTCAATCTCCAAAATCATCCTCAAAACGACCATCAATCACCGTCTCAACACCAGATGCCCAAAACGAAACTCACATCATCACCAACCAAAAGGACAACGCCTATCACAACAAAACCAACATTGATTCCATCCGAACTACACTTGTAGCTAGCCAGTACGGTAGCATGACAGTGCCATGCACCCACCCACAACGTACCCGCCCACGGAAATTGCAATATCAGAGGAACCTTCCAAAACAATTAAGGATCCTAAGAGGTCCATGACCTCATCGTGGCCCAAAACTAATAATCCAGCACCATGGCAACGCCAAAGGACTCACCTCATCTTATACATGTCAAATACATTGTAAGGAGTGCACTCATGTACACACTACATGTTTAAATTCAAATATACATATTTTGACATATAAGGCTATAAGTGGCTTTTCAAGCCAACCTTTACAAGAAAGGGAAATCTTCAAGTCCACCAATCATCCAAGCATGACGAGAATCGCAACCTTGATTCTTGTACCTGAAATATGCCCCAGTATCATAGGGGTGAGTAACATAAAGCTACTCGCAGGAAATGAGCATGCATCGACCTACGTTTTACAAGTTTGCATGATTTAATTATTGTGATTCATTCCACCTAACGTCTATGTCAAAGGTGAGACTCAAGGAGCATCCTAGCTACCTAGGATCATTTCTAGCATCAATCACCTCATTCATGCAATTTTAGCAACATAGGGTCATGCTTACACAAAACAACAACATAGGAGCATGCTTACACAAAGCAACAACATATAGATTCTCAAGATAATCAACTTGAAGTCTAAAATGCAACATCAACTAAATATAACAATTTAGCATAATTAGAATATCTAATACCACACATCAAGACATAGGTTCTCTAGGTTATCAACTAGAAATCTAAAAGTGTGAAATCAACTAAATATATCAATTTAGTATGGATGTACTTAACAACATCAAAATGATTCATTAAAATCATATACATGGATGTACTTAACAACATCAAAATCGCCAATAACTAAAACCACAAGTTACAATATAAACATGATTGTTAACTTGGAATTGAATGCGAAAACAAATAATGGAAGACTTGGACATCTACGCTCGGAATTTTGCCGAGACCTCAATGGTATTCCGGGCACTAACCCGCAGGGAAGACCACCATAAGTGCGCACTATCTCAATAACTTAGAGGACTCGCGTCCCCGTACTAGAGCCAGACCCTAGCCATCTCAACTCAACAATGTTTTAAGATTCCAAAATTAAACCAAATAAGTTCACAACTTATACATAACTTATATAATGCATGAAAACACCTTCCATGCACAAGTAGGTTGAAACCACACAATCCATGCCTTAGAATTTCAATTCTAAAATGACATACATAATGTCAATTACAAAGTGTGCAATTCACTACACATGGCATCAATATATTCTATAAAGAAAACATGTTCTCATGAATATAAATAAAATAACAAAGTTGTCAAATGCTCAAAACACAATCAAGTGAATACATAAAAAGTTCAAGTCCATGATTTGAATATAGAAACAACTTATAAAATACCAATAGATCCATGGAGCCATTAGATAGAATTTAATTAAACAAGGTGATTAAATTCTCTAGATTTCAAATAACCTCAAATTAATATATGTTAAGCAACATATCATGGTCTTTACATATATCAAATCAAAAGTGCAAGATAAGCAAGATATCATCAAATAGAATTTAATTAATTTAAATCAATTATATCACTAGATTTCAAAAGTTATCCAAATGATCTCAAATTAATTTATATCAAGCACTAAGTCATGGTCATACCATATATCTAGTCTAAGATGGATTACAAGCAAAACACAATTTACTAGAATTTAAACCAAATTAAATTCATTTAATCTCTAGATTTGAAAACTCATCGAAATCAACCAAAATTAATATATATCAAAGATCAACTCATGGCCATGCCATTTACCAAGTCTAAAATGAGTTATAAGCAAACTACCATTAATCATAATTTCTCAAATTAATACACTACATGCATACAAGTTGTATAAGCATCAAAAACATGCAAGACAACAAACATATAACCCTATAACATTCCCTACCTCACTAGAGAAGTGTCTCTCTAGAATCCAAGGCAAAATCAACACAAAATGGCAAACCCTTCTAGGGTTATGAAGAGGAAGATGAGGGGAACAAAATGTATTCCCAAGTTCAAGCTTGGAAATCAATGGAAGGCTCTCAAAAATCAAGGTCAAAGCTTAAGGCTTTAGGCTCCATACATGGAGGCTAGGGTTTTCTTTACAAGAGAGGAAGGAAATGAAAAATGATGAAGATGAAATGTGAGTGGAGGGGATAGAGATCCTCCACTCACTATGTGCTCTTACACTACCTCACACACACACACTAATGCAAGATCAAATTGTGAGCCTACACTTGTCACAAATCCAACGCTCCATCCTAGGCTAAATCTCAAGCCTACACTTGTCAACTATCCAAGCCAACAAGTGGATAAATCTCCACCTTCCACATGTCCTCATCCAAGGCCTCAAAGTGTTTCCACACACATCACAACAAGTGGACCAATGAGAGTGTGACACTTGTCACACTTTCCGAAAATTGCAAAAAAATCCTTTTTGAAAATATCTTCCAAATTAAATTGCAAAATGGTCCCTAAGACAAAAAATAATTACTTTACAGTAATTACACAAAAACCCCAAAAGTTAAGAAGATTACAAAAAGGTATTGCATCTATACCCTTGACAAGAAAAGTAAGCACTTAGCATGCTTTTCTACAAAAGTTAAAATATACATAGTATGGAATTTAAATATCGTGGATGCATGCAAAACCGGAATCAAATCCGAACACGAAAAGTGAGGTTATGCCAACAAAGTGACAACCGAGAAAAAGACGAAAGTGAATAGTGTCACAAAAGTGAAAATATGAAGATGAATCGGTCCTTAAAAGAAGTCGTCAATCCAAGGAAAAGAGTCTCGGAAACCATCCCCGAGCACTAAAGATGACACTAAGTGATGAGAAACTGAACTCAGAAAGGAAAAGATCAACGGAAAAAAAATATCCGTGAAAATCTGAGAGAAGGAAAGGAAGGAAAATGACCGGGTCATTACATCCTTCCCACCTTAAAGGGATTTCGTCCCCGAAATCTAGCCCCAACCAACAAAAGGCAAAACTAGGAAACTACAGAGTACATCTCCAAGTATCCCACACAACATGCTATAAAAGCGACATCAAAGCTGAAAGACAAAGCACAAACCAATGTCGTTCGCACCCACGTGCGCACGACAGGACAACCCCTTAAAAGAAAAGTGACATCACGGCCACACGACAAGTCAAAGTCACACACAGAACCTAAGGCCAGACAAAGAAATGGAAGACAACAACCGAAAGCATCCCTCCTGACAACCATCAAACGGATCCAAAACACATCCACCAAAAAGGACTCCAAAATAATCACGTATCAAATTAGGGCACAGAACAAACACAACGTGGTAGTACGAATAGTGACCAAAACCCGCCCACAACGCACTCAAATGTGTGGTAGCAATGACAGTACCTAGTGCCCGCCCACACTTACTCGTCAGTAAGGTAGCATCGACGGCAACTAGTACTCGCCCACAACATAAAACTTTGTACGGTAGCATGACAGTATAAGGCACTAGTTCATAACCTGTCCCCATCTAGGTTTACCCATGAAACCTCTCGATACCAATGACATTAATGTAAAAAAATGATCACTACCAAAAGCACTACGGGGACCAACATTTTGTGAAAGTTGAGATATGGTCCAAAGATGTCCGGCCGGACCATCCTAGCCAATTCCAAAACTCTGACAACAATGCCATAGGTACCGCTATACTTAAGACCCCAAATCCTCAACACAGCAAAACAAACATCTCCAATGTCTCAAAATACCCCAATTAACAGCATTAATCAGGAATCCAAAACCTGACAAGCAAATCAACACCTATAGAAATCAAAACGAACCTCATGATAAGACATTTCATCGAAAGTCCTTCATATCTCCCTGAAACAGATCAACTATAAGACTACACTGTAATCAAACATCAGATCCGCATCCCTATCATGGATAACTAAATCCTCCAAATACAAATCCACCAAGTGGCACACACATCAGAATGCCAACAACCAAGGTCACAAAATGAATCTCTCAAACCCGTACTTGGAAACACCAAGTTAAATCAAAATTCCTCAATTTTTGATCCACAACCAATCATCAGAACTATTATTCCTCAAAGCTACGCCTAGCTGTAACTAGGATGAGAAAACTCCACAGATAAGCCATATCCAACAACGATCTTTCAAAACTCTTCTAAGAGTCAACCACATCAAGGTCTCCAAAACTGAAACAAGTCTCCAAAAGATATCCCTAAACAGCGTCAAACTCACACAACGAGTCAACCATATCCCCAATCAAATGGACACAAGTCCCCTTAAAATGATCTCACACCGATCCACTCACTCT